GCAGATCCTCAAACTAGAAACCTGGGTGCCGTTCTTTACACACCAGCCTCTCCTCATCCCACATCTAGTCTGTCACCACCAAAATATTTCTTGAACTCTGAGTATCTTCCTTGCTAATTTCCATGTTTCCTTTCTTATTTCTCCACCTCCCCTGAATCTATTCTCCACACTGTGTAGCCAGTTTGCATCTTTTAAAACTGCAAACTGGTGGGTGTCATTCCTCTGCCATCCCTACCACTGGTGGCTTCCTGGTGCTTTGTCCCATGGCGACAGTGGCTGGCCCATGTCTCCAACCTGCTGTCTCCCTGGACCACTCCACTGCAGCCAGCCTTGCCACCTGCAGTTCCACTAGGGGCCTGGTTCTTCCCCTGCCCAGGGCCTTAGGCCTGCTGTGCTCTTCTCTCTGCCTGGAATCCCTACAGGTGGTTCATTACCAATCTGGTCTTGGCTGTAATGCCACCTCCTCAGTGAAGCCCTCCCTGACTACCTATGATGAATTAGATCTCCTAGTTTTTCACTTTCATAGAGACTTGTCCTTTTTTCTTATAGCACCTCCCCCAGTTTCATAATTCCTCGTGTATTCAGTGGTGATCTAATCAACATCTTTCTTCTCTAGCAGCCACCAGACTTTAGAACCCAGCTGTCTAAAACTGTCTGTTTTGCTCACTCTGCTGGCATTCCAGGGCCTGGAACTGGCACCTGAGAGAAGGCTGCTACCCACATGTTGAGAGAATGTGTGTGCGCTACCTCAGCTGTGCCCCGTGGACATTATTGGCGAATATTTGAGAAGTGAGTTATTCAGTAGATGGAGAGAGGCCCTCAAAGTTGGCTAGAAGATAAATGACTGAAAGGAAAGCCTGTTTTTCTCATTCTTAGGTTGGTAAAATTATCTCCTTTTCTTTATCTTTGGTGTTCTAAATGGGTCTTCTGTTCTGAAGCGCCCCTCAGTGAGCATGGGCTCGCTGACCACCCTGTGTGGCGATGCTGTCTCCATGCGCCTATGAGAACCCACGGGAGTGCCATGCCGCCCTGTCCCCATCTTTATCTGCTTCACAATTTCCTGTCTAGGCCCTTAAAATCTTGATTTGCACAGTTATTTATCTTTGTGCTCTTCATGGTGCCCTGGTAAGGCATTCTTTATGATTTCGTCCTGAGAACATAAGCCCTGTTGAAAAGAGAACATGCTTTGAATAAAGCCTGCTTGGCGTTGGGCTTGATGGGGAGGAGGAGTGGGAGGGGGCGTCAGGGCAGCACAAGGCCCCTGGCCGCCCTCTCTCGCAGGAAGGCTCATAAACACAAGGATCTCGCTCAAGCCCCAGCAGGTCTGGAATCTCAGCTTGGTGCTTTGCCAGGTATGATTTTGCCACAAGGGGAACTTCTCTTCCAGAACCTGATGCAGTCATTCTCTTCAGAGGGGTTGGGCATTTATCTAGACCTGTCAGAAGCAAGTTTCTCAGCAGCCCCTGTGCTGGGCACTGAGGATGCAGCAGTAGGGAGACCACAGTCCTTGTCTTGGGATTTAGCAGGGAAGAGATGCACATTTGAAAGGCCAAAATTAAGAAATCTGGTAATGCCAAATGTTGGAGCAGATGTGTATCGATGGGGTATCTTGGGCTTTCTTGGTGGAAGTTGACTTATCTGCCTAGCAAAGTTGAACACCCACTCACCCTGTAACCCAGAAGTTCAACTCCAGAAACTGTGTCCACAACTCCAGAAGCCCTTGCACCTGTGCCGGTGCAGGATCTTTGTGACAGAAGAAACTCACTGCAGTATTTCCAGCAAAGAACTGGAAACGCCCCCCAGTGCACATCGATAGGAACCCAGGTTGCTACGTCCTACCTACACAAAGTACGGCAGATGGCATTAGCAGCAAATGAGCTACAGGTGCACGCACGATGTGCACAGATTTTTAGTATCATAACTGCCACAATGCCTCATTCATACAGTTCAAAAACTTACACAACAAAGCAAATTACTGATTAGGCATGTGTGCTACATATGTAGTTAGCCTCTACACAATCATACGCACGTGTGTATAAAAAGAAAGGGAATGCTGCATTCCAAATTCAAGGCAGTGGCTCCCTCCGGCTGGGGAAGGTGGCGGAGCTGGGTAGGGAGTACCACACAGGTAGGCATGAGTTGTCAATAGTGTAGTTCAGAGGTGGAGGGGGCAATGGGCTCATGGGTGTTTCGTATATAATTTAAATCTGTCGGTACACAGAGGCAGGGGCTGACCTGTAAAGCAGTGGTGACCAAACAGTGAGTCAGGTTCCAGTGACCAGCTGTGTCTGGAGTCAGGGTAGCCCTTCCAGGAGGTCCATGGGAGCAGAGGTTAGGGATGAATGGGAATTTGCCAGTGGAAGAAATTCTAGGGAGAAGCCACAGGGGCAAAGCACAGAGACATTCAGAAGCACAGCGTGTGCAAGGAATTGTTCAAGAGTCCCTTGGCTGCGGTTTCAGGGTTGGGGAGAATGTGGGGCTGAAAAGGCTGTGGAGTTGGGCTGCATGGTGGAGGCTTCCTGGTGGCCAAGTTAAGGAGCGAGTGCTCGGCCCTGTGAGTAAGGCTTTTCAGCGGAGTGCCTTGTGGGGCGCTGGAGGGGGTGCCAGGAGACCCCTACCCATCACAGGGAGTCCCCATAGAATTCCAACTGACCAGAGGATCTTCCTGCTCATGGCAGGACCATGACAAGCTTTGAAAGCCATGAGGTAGACAATGGGAGCCCACATAGGAGCTGGTGACAAATAATTGCATCATCAGAGAAACATTTTAGAAAGCCGCACAGGCTGCTGCAGGCGCCTGGGAGGGAAGAGCTGTGACCTGGGCCCCGCCTCACTAGGCAGACAATGCTTAGTGTAAGGTGATATTCTCCAGTGACTCTGAGTAATGTTCCCAAAAATCTCATTCTCCCATTGCTTTTTCAGACCATTTCAGAGATGTTTTCTGTTTCTTTGTGATTGATCTTGGCTGTGGCTTCTGACACCGTGCGTCTCACTTTCTCTGCCCCCTGACCTCTGGTTAGGTAGTTAATGATCTTTAAACAAACACTAGAGTATTATGGCTCTCCAGGAAAGGTCCTGGGCTCATGGGCCATTAGTAACACACTCTCCCTCTATCCAGGGAGAAAGTGAGTGTCCGCACACCCCGACTCGGTAGACACGGACGCTTGCAACCTAAGTGTCAAAATTCTCTTTAGTTTAACTATTTTTGATGGCAGATTTTCTGAAATACATTACACATTTCTCTGCTTCATTAAACAAAAATCTATGAACACAGTTTCATCTCAGAGACAGTGGATCATAGGTAGGAATGTCCATTCATTACTGGAGACTTTCTATGTCTGTTCTTGATTTACAAACTGTGAATGCAGAAATCTGCCCAGTATAGTAGTCAGTGTGATATTTTAGAAACAGCGATAAGATCAAGTTACTCCTCTGCCTAAACTCCTCCAGTGACTTCCGGGCCTTGGACTCTACTGTGGGGCCCGAGCCTTGACCTCTGTATTAGTCTGTTTTCACGCTGCTGATAAAGATATACCCAAGACTGGGTAATTTATTTTTTCAAAAAAGAGGCTTAGTGGACTCACAGTTCCACGTGGCTGAGGAGGCCTCACAATCATGGTGGAAGGCCAAAGGCTTGTCTTACATGGCGCCAGGCAAGAGAGAGAATGAGAGCAAAGTTAAAGGGGTTTCCCCTTATACAACCATCAGATCTAGTGACACTTATTCACTACCAGTATGGGGGTACCCCATGCCCCCATGATTCAATTACCTCCCACTAGGTCCCTCCCACAACACATGGCAATTAAGGAAGCTACAATTCAAGATGAGATTTGGGTGGGGACACAGCCAAACCATATCAGCCTCCTTCCCTGCTGTATAGCTCCCCACCCCTGCTGCAGCCCTCCTGCTTCTATGCATACTCAGACTCACCAAGCTGCTGCCCTCTTAGGGCTTGTACTTACCAGTTCCCCTATTTAGAGCTGTCTTTCTTTGGGTCCTCATGCAGCTGGCTGCTTTATACCAAAGTCTAAGCTCAAACTCACTTCTGCGAGACCCTTACCCTACCCAGGCCATCTCTATCACATCACCCTGCATTGTTTTCTTTATAGCGTATGTTGTCTGTTATATATAAAATATATATATCTATAATTTAACATAATTATATTAAATAATATATATTTGCAGGCATATAATTTATATATTTATATTGATATGGATTGAATTAATATATATAATTTTTCCTATGTTTGTAATTTTGTTGTTGCTGTTGTTTCTAGATATTAAGCTCTTTGCAAACAGAGGTCACTCTATTTCTTCCCCTAGAACAGTGCCTGGCACACAGTAGGCACTCTGGAAATATGAGTTGAATGAATGAAGAGAGTTCCTGCTCTAGGCCACCCACAGGCCAGCAGGCAGCAGATACACAATAGACAGCGACTGCGCAGGCTGTGGGATTCAGAGGGGCAGGGTTACCACTAAGGAGTCAGGGACAAGTTCTGCCACTGGGGTTGGGGCAGGCTTTCCAGAGCAGTAGTGCTTGTCCCAGGCTTTAGAGGGCAGATGGGCATAGCTTGGCAGGCTGAGCAGCTGAGGAGGCCATTCTGAGGGGAGGAGGCAGGCAGACCTGGACAGAGGGCTGCAAAGTGCCTGCCTGGTTGATGGAAGGGACTAGAGCCTGGGCTGGGGCAGGGATGAAGGGAACTAAGGTAGTCAGGGATTTGGCTGCTATGACCCCTGCCTTCCTCCTGGAAAAGCAGTGAGTCTTGGAGAGTGGGGCCCCAGCCCTGCTTTGCTGGTGGCTCTCGGCCTTTTGCTTTCAGTGTGGTGCCTGCTCTGGTCTAGGAGAGCCTGCCTGGGCCCCAGCACCCTTGGCTGGTCCTCACAGTCCCTGCAGGTGGTGGTGAGCATGGGGACAGGATTATCTAGCTGCAGCTCCCTTATCCTCCCCACAGCCCCAAGGCTTGTTGGTTTCATGTGCTTTCTCATTCGCTCCCCATCAGGTGGTGAAGAAGGTGAAGTCCATGCAGATGTTCCATATGCCCATCACTTCAGCCATGCAAGGAGACCGGCTGGGCATCTGTGTCACCCAGTTTGACCCCAAGCTGCTGGAGCGCGGGTTGGTGTGTGCCCCTGAGTCCCTGCACACTGTCCACGCAGCCCTTATCTCTGTGGAAAAGATACCATATTTTCGGGGGCCCCTGCAGACCAAGGCCAAGTTCCACATTACAGTGGGCCATGAGACAGTCATGGGCAAGTTGATGTTCTTCACCCCTGCTCCAGATAACTTTGACCAGGAACCTATACTGGACTCCTTCGACTTCACTCAAGAATACCTCTTCCAGGAGCAGTACTTATGCAAGGATTTGGCATCAGCAGTGACAGACAATGATGAGGCCGACAAGAAGGCTGGCCAGGCCACAGTGGGCCATTGCCCTCGGCAGCAGTGGGCCCTGGTGGAGTTTGAGAAGCCCGTCACCTGTCCTCGGCTATGCCTGGTGATTGGCTCCAGGCTAGATGCGGACATTCATGCCAACACATGCCGGCTGGCCTTCCATGGCATCCTGCTCCATGGGCTGGAGGACAGGAACTATGCCGACAGCTTCCTGCCCAGGCTAAAGGTGTACAAGCTGAAGCACAAGCATGGCCTCGTGGAGCGGGTGAGCATGCCCTTGCCTGGCCCCACACCCCTTCCCTTCTTGCTTGGGTGGCTGGGATCCACCACCTGACATCCGTGATGAGAGCCAAAGGCCCTCAGAGACCTTCTGGTGCCAACCTCTGTAGTTTCTGGACAAGGTACCTGACGCCCAGAGTAGTCAAGTGGGCATAGTTCTCTCAGCTGGTTAGTCACAAAGCCAGGGCCAGCACCTGGGCAGGAGGACTCCCACTGCACCCAATCCCACCCAGCTATCCTACTCCCACTTATTTACATGGTGGAGATGGCCCCCATGGGTCTTAGCAGGTCTGGGCTCCCCCACAGCCAGCGTCAGATGGCAACGGTTAGCACTGGCCTCCCTGGCCTGCTGCCCTGACCAGGCCCCACTCTCTTGCCCTTGGTGGGCACCATACCTCCATCTGGCTGGGGGGCTGCCCATGTGCCCCTTGTCCAGAGGAAAACACTGCCCATCAGCTGTGTCAGGCCTGGTCTTTCATCACCTGTGGACTGAGGGGAAGGGGCTAGTGCTGGCAAGGGGTGCCAGAGAGCAAGAGGAAGGAAGGTACAGGAAGCTGACACAGTGGGAGGTCCAGCCCCTGGCTACCTAGGGTGCCTGAAGTTCATCATTGCTGGATGCAGGCCTTAGGCATGTGGGTGAGCCAGTCTAGTTGAGGTAGGATGAGGCCTTGGCTGTGCCTTGCTGGGTGACCCTGGGCATTGGGCTTTCAGGGTGGTGTTTGCTCCATCCCAGGAGACCCTGACTGGGCCCTCGGCCTCCCTCAGCTGGTCCTGTGATACCTCGTAACCTGGGCCCAGTGCCGATTGGGATGGGGCTGCCACTAGGGAGGACAGAACACAATGGTCTCCCCTGAAGTAGTGGAATCACCTTCTCACATGGGGCCTCCATCCCCAGCAGCTATCCACACAGCACCAAGTGGGAATCCATGCCCATCAAGCCTTGAAGGTGGGAGAGATGGACAGCCAGACCTCACTGTCTCTTGTGGCTGGCTCCCTGACTGTGGGCCCAAGCAGGTCAGCAGTAGCTGTCCTGGGACATGACTGGGTTTTGACTGACTCAGAGAGCACAGAGTGCTGGCGACCCCACTGTTAGGGGCTCAGGCTCCTAGCAGGAGGGGTCTGCCCTGAGACTTTCAGCAAGTACCTCAGTTCCTCACAGGAGCCTGATGAGGTCCCCTGGGCTTAGTGCAGGTGCCAGCACAACATCTGGCCTGTCCACAGTGTCACATGTGATGGGCTTCCACCCCCTCCCCTCCCCTCTAGGTCTCTGTCCTTTTCAGATCCCTGAGTTTTCTCCTCTGGGATTCTCTGTCACTGCAACCCCTTCCCCTCCCCTTCTCCTTGTCTCAGGTTCTTCCTGGGTGTTCCACCTGGCCCTCTTTTTCTCCTGCCCCTGTACCTAGACCTGCCCTCAAGGGGTGGATTGAGGAGCAACCCGATCCTCTCCCTTCCCCAGACCCAGAGCTTGGACCGTTAGCTCTGTGGGGCCGCTGAGGCCTGTTCAGAGCTCCATCAGCCTTAGGCCAGTCCCAAGATGCTGATTGAAGATGAAGGTGATAAAGTGTGTGTCACTCGTTTGTCTAGCCTGATTTATTAGCAGTGTTTGGAGTACAATTATTCTACAGTAAAATATCTATGAGAGAGTAATGTCCCAATTGGTGTGGCTCCTGGGTCTAATTGCTCCCACTCAGGCCTGTCAGCAGTAGTGCAACAGTCACTTCCGTTGAGAACTGGGAGGGAGGATCTATGAGGAGCAAGTAAACATACGGCCAAAATGACTCATGCCTTCGAAGGGCTGAAGGAGGGGCCAGGAGACATGTTGACCTATGCCCTGCCACCAACCTGGGGCATCCCTGGGGCCACCAGCCTTTTCCTGCTCAGGCCGGGGAGGCTGGAAGTGGAAGCACAAGAACCATAGGCAGTCTACAGAAGCTGAGTCCAAATCCCACACAGACGACCCTGAGCAGAGACAGGCTTCCTCTAACCAGGGACAGCTGCATGGGGTGACTGTAGATGTGTGCAGAGGTGAGATCCTATGACCCCAGGGCTTTGGTCAGGGCACAGGGGCTTCCTGAGGCTCCACAAGAGAGGAAAGGGCATGGGTGTCCAGGCTAGGGTCATCTCCCCCAACTCACAGGCCCCTGAGACTCTAGCTGAATGGGTACCTTCCTTAATGCTAGGGGCTGGCTGTAGGCTGGGGCTTCTGTGCTACACGTTCGCCTCTGGGCCTCAGGGCAGGAATGAGCGTGCCTCTCACTTCCCTCCACCCCATCACCACCCTGTTGATTTAGCACATACTGTGCACCTTTACTAGCTGCACACTTTATTTTGAAACCTTTTAATAAACCCAAAGAAGAGGTCATTATTTTTCCTATGTACATTTTTCCCCAATTAAATCAATCAAATTATATGCAAATATTTAGGAAAAGTAATATATGCACATGGTAAAAAATTTCAAACAAGACAACAATTATTCAGTGTAAGGAAGTTTTCTTCTACTCTGAACCCAGGTCCCCTTCCCAAGGGCAGCCAGACTGGAAACCAGCTCGAGAAATGTGAAGTGACCTACCCAAGGCCACAGGGTAGTAAAGCTGAAGTTTGAACTCGCCACTAGCTGTCCTCTGAGTCGTGATGTTTCCACTGTGTCAGACAGATTCTTGCCACTTGTCAGACAGATTCAGTATGTCAAACGAGTCTGCATTCTCTTGAAAAGCTGGAATTTCCTTGGTGGGAGACTTTCCTTCTTGGTAAGGTTGAACTTGGAGATCACACAGAGTAGGCTCAAGCCCTGGATGTACCACAAAACAGCTTGTACACCTTGGGCAGCCATTTAATCTCAATTGTTCATTCCTTTGAAGGACGGTCTTGACCTCACTGGGTTGTTTAGAAAGAGCCATCATAGCTTGTGGTTTCATATGTAAGAGCCAACTCCCGTCAGGTGAAACAGGATGGTAGCATTCCTAGTGTAGTTATGAGTGATCAGCTGGGCTTGTCCCAAAGGGGCAGCCCTGTTTTCTTTGAGTAGGCCCCAGATCACCCAGAGATTTTCATATCATCTTGCTTGACCAGGGGCTTGGCCATGTGATAGACTGGTCCAGTGTGCAGGCCTGGGCTTTACTCTAGCCTTACCACCTCCTAGTGTGAAAATTTGGGCAGGCCGTGAGACTTCCATGTGAAGTGGGAATTTTCACAGTGCTGCACCAGGATTAGATGAAGGTGAGACAGGAGATTGCACGTAAGGTTCTGAGATCAGTGCTTGACTCCTACTGTGTCCTTACTGTTTTATCATTTTTAATGTTTAAGTTCTTAGAGTCAAAATAGTGACCCCTGGAGCGTGGGTCCACTCTTTTCCCTGGGACTCCATTATTTCTCTTTGAAGCACAGGAGCCAATCCTCCTGGACCCTATCAGGAGCCACCCAGGGTTGGTGGAAGAGGAAGGGGCTAAGAGTCAGGCGGGTTCATGGGTGTGACTGTCCAGCACAGGAGCCAGAGAAGTGCCCTGTGCTCATCTTTCCCCACCGTGCTTGGCTGACTCCAAAAATTCCTGGGTAAGTCACAGCTACCACTCAGCTTCCTGGATATGCTTCTATTCAGAGAAGTTACTGGAAGATCAGAGAATCTTGAAAAGGTAAAATCTGGTCTCTTGGGCAGAATCTCCACCACCATGGTCAGCCAGCCTTTGCTCTGTGATACAGGGCAAGGCAAGCACATCTACTCTGCAAGCACAGTTAGCTTTCTGAGAATCTGGGCTTGGGCCTCTGAGCTATCTCAGTTCATCACAAAGGGAGACCCTGGCTCTATGCCTATGTGTTGAGTGAGCAGTTTCACCAGAGAGTTTAAGGTATATAGGCCTTCTGAGCCCATTTCCTATAAAGGCATCCTTCATTCATATATTCAGATGTTTACTGAGCTCTTACGTTTGTGTCAGGCACTGGGCATAAAACAGGATAGAAAAAGTTCTTGTCTTCATAGGGGAAGTGGTAGTGAACAGTAAATTAGGCACTTTCAGGTTATAATAAGGTCTAGAAAGAAAAGGAAAGCATGTTGTAAATATGTGATGCTGAGGACAGTTAACAGAGAAGATGCTAATTTCCAAGCCTCGCCAGACTGTGTTTTTGTTTCCTGTGCTCTGTGCCACTGGGTCACACTGGAAGGTGGCCAGGTACCCTTCCAAATGTGGCTTAACTCATTAGTATTACATAGAGCAAACTATCGCCCATGGGCCAAACCTGAGCAACTGCTCTTGCCCCAAATCTAATAATCTTAAACAAGCTTATTTTCTCTGGATTCTTCTTTCAGCTGTTTCAATCAAACACAATTTAATTAACTTACCATTGGTAAATGGCTTTCCTTGCTTGGCTAACAAATGAGCCACTCGGAAACCTACTTTGGTTGCAGCCTCATTCTCATTTTTTATTGTTTTGCGTGTCTGCTATGATGAGATATACTGTTTTAAGTTTTCTCTTTTTTGACCATTGTTTTTCTGTGAGTTGGGAATATTGTGATGTCAGTGTATCTTGTATTCTATTAACACAACTAATAACAAGCACAGTGTTTTGCCATGTAATTTGATAAAGTAATAATTCATACCCACTGAGCCTTAAAAGTGTGACATTTGAAGTCCACTTTTCTTGTTTTCATGTGATGGGCAGGCACCAATAATAAAAATAAATAAATAAAATGTGTCACTGGACAAGGTACTGCAAGTTATAACTGTATTACTGGCATCTGTAGTTTACTGAGCACCTCATCAGGTCTAAGACCCAACTACTCAACTCTGCCACTGTGACACAAAGGCAGCCATAGACAATATGTAAACAAATGGACATGACTATGTTCCCATAAAACCTTTTTTTGTGAACACTGAAATTTAAAATTTATAGTTTTCACATATAACAAGTTCTTCTTCTTTCGAAATTCTCCAACCCATTAGAAAATATAAAAACCATTCTTAGCTCACAGGCCGTACAAAAACATAATGGGCA